AACTTCTTAAATTTTGCTGTGAAAGCCATGATTAATGTTAGCATCTATCTCCTCTATAGAAAAACAAGGAGTTTTTCATTAAACTCCTTTTCAAGAAAAGATGTCAACCCAACAAAGCATCCCATCTTATGATAAATCTAGAAAATCTTGCCCTGGCTAAACAACAATGTGCAGCCCTACTTAAATAAGGTCTTATTGAGCCTATAAAGTCGGATTGGGTCTGTCAAGCTTTTTATGTGGAAAAAAGATCTAAAAAATAGAGAGGAAAAAAAAAGGCTGGTGTTATAAACCTCTTAATGTCTTTTTCCAAGATGACAAGTTTCCCTTACCTAAGATTAATACTCAAATAGTACATCTAAAGTTGGCCAAGATATTCTCAAAATTTGATCTCAAAGCAGGATTTTGGCAGCTTGGAATACATCCTATATATAGATACAAGACGACCTTTTACATTCTAAATGCCCAATACTAATGCAAAGTCATGCCTTTTAGTCTCAAGACTGCCCCATCATTATTTCAAAAGGCCATGATTAGAATCTTTGAGCCCATTATCGACAATGCCCTTATTTATATTGACAATATCTTGTTATTCTCAAAATTGAACAAGAGCATAAGGACTTTCTAGCTCAATTCTACAAGATTATTTAATAGTATGCAATTATGCTTTTAGCCCGAAGAGGATAAATTAGCATAGCCCAAATTGAATTTTGGGGGTATGTTAATCCAAAATGTACAATACCAATATAGTCCACACATTGATGAGAAATTATTAAACTTTTTTGATAAAAACTTATCCAAAACTCAAGCACAACAGTTTTTTAGTATAGTCAATTATAACAAGAATTTTATTTCTCACATATCTCACCATACCAACCAGGTGTCCAGACCTTTAAGGAAAAATCTACCCCCTGGGGTCTCAGGCAGACAAAAGATATCTAGTACCTAAAGCAGACTTGTCAACATCCTCTTCCACTCAGGATCCTTGAAAAAGGATAGTACATCTTATAGACTAATGCTAATGATGACTTTTGGAGAGCTTTCTTCTTGAAGAAGTAGATGGGAAGAGATATTATTGTGGTCATACCAGTAGAGAATTTAAAGACTCTAAAAAGCCACATAACATATAAAGAAGTCCTACCTGTAAAACATGGCATTGAAAAATTAAGCTTTTATCTTAGCACCCACCACTTTGTGGTAGAAATGGACAACATATCATTCCCAAAAATCCTACATCAAAATAGCAAAATCCTCCTTGAATTATAACTCCTTTGATGGAAAGAATGGTTTTCTTGCTATAAATTCCCAGTCTGACACATCAATAAAAATCACAATACTATTGCTGATTACCTCACCAAACCTCAAAAGAAAATTAATCTCATCACTCTTCTAAAAAAGTCACCTCTCTTCATCCTAAACATCATGCCTAGTAAATTGATTTTTCCACTAAGACACAATCCAAGCACTATCCCAAAAGTCAAAAAGTTAGCCAGGAGAAGTTTGTTTTACCAGCTTCACATTCTCTTTCAAAAAACCCTGATCCAACCCCAACTTGAATATTTTGACATTCAAGCTCCTTATCTTGTTGTTCCCTTAATCAGAGGTCATATTTCAAATGAACTCGTGTGTTATATTTGGTCTTTATCCTCTCTTTATATTTGTGTTATAGCTATTCCTCCCCTGGAGACGTATTATTTTCTATATGACTCAGCTTATAAAGGTTCAACCCTATGGAGACTCCTAGAATGGTTCTCACCTATTTCCAGATGGTGCAAGGAACTCTCTAGAGTAGTTTAGAAGGAATTTCTATGGAAGATCCCTTTACATGAGCAAAAGGCTTATTCCTTCTTCATTATTCATCACCCTTATCACCTAACAGTAAAGGAAGGCTTTATGTGGTTAACCAAGTTTACTTATAGAAGACTGCCACCAACTAGAAAACAAATGAAAATTCTATTTTAATTGAATTAAAAGAATTTTTATATGAAATGAATAATTATCCGGTCCCAAATCCTTATCTCAAGTACACATATCTAGGTCTAATCCTTTATCAGCCTATTCTTTCAAGTGACACATCTCCATCTATCCAATGTCAATTTCCTAAATAGCTCACAAGTCTTACTATACAAATAGGATACTCTACCCGGATGGAATCTTATGAGGGAGTATTATCATCCACACCCCCATCATTTCCACCAAACAGTCAGGACCCATATCAAATAGAGACCTAGACTTATTAGATATTCCTAGATTTAGAGGACACTTTAGCACCAGGACCACTCAACAAATAAATCAGGATGACTTTGAAGAGGAACAGCTGGAACTACTTAGGCGTAATAGCCCTACAGCAGAAGGTAGCGAAAGGAAGAAAAAAGTTGGCTCAACTTACCACATAACCAAGAGTGCATTCACAAAAGCTTACGTTAATCACAAAAAGGATCTCCTTTTAACTCATGTCCCCTTTTGTGTGTTTTCCTTGTTGTAATATTATCAAAAGTCACTTTTGAATTTTCATCAAAGTAGTTTGCTTTAGTCATATTGATATGCTTTTATTGTTGCTTTTACTTTTACCTATCTAAAATAATAACATGTGATAAGCATTTGTTTGTTTGTAATCATACAACATTTATCTTAATCCTCAGCTCCATGTCTATATAATGAGGCTTCAAGTTCTCTTGCAAGACAAAACTCATTTGGTAATAAAATCTTGTGTATTTCTTCAATCATGTCTCTTTGAACTCTCTCCCCCCTTGAAATCTTGACTCTTTAATATCTTGTATCTATCATACTTTAATTCAAGTATGCTTTGTACTTGCCTCTTTGAGGAACCTATGTATTAGAAAGAATCTAATCGATGATCTATGTGTGTGAGCCATGTCACTATACTGTGTTAAAGAGTTGAGGATCCTAAAGAGGCCCGAGTTTGCCCAAGAAAGGCATTAAGGGGACTTACCTGGGTCAATATACCTTGTAGCACTGAGACATAAGGATCTCTGGAACTAGACGCACATGAGTCCTACCCTCATCGTATCCTTGTCAGACAGAGTAAACACCATGTATATACTAGGCCAAGTATCAAGTACAAAATGTGTCAAGTAGTCTGCAATGTCAATTACATCTCGCAACATCTGTATAACTTCAACATCCTAATGCCATTTAGTATTTGTATACAAGTAAGTATTTATGTATAACTTAACTTGATTATAATTGAAAGTAATTACCCTTCAAGATTTTAATTATATATATTATAGTAAAATACTAGCTTAACAAGATCATTCTTTAAAAAAATTGAGCTATATATGTCTAAAAAAGATTATGTATAATACAAAATTAAAAAATAATTTAATAACTAAACTTAACACATTGATTATTATTATTTTTGTTCTTTGATCCTATATATCATTTATTTCTCATTCTATATATAAAATAATAAATTTAATATATATTTTGAATGATTTTATTTAATTTTAAATTTTTAAAATAATTCATAAGAAAAATTTTCTAATAATAATTTAATAAATTGTTTCATATAATTTAAAATTATATTTTATTTTTTAAAATACTTTTAGAGGTGACAAATGTTGCTACCAAAAGTAATTATATAAATTATTTTTTATAAAAAATTTTTGGCAATGACAAAAATGTTATAGCTAAAAGTTATTTATGGTGACAACTATTAAAAGTCACTACCAAATGTTTACTTTTGACGGCAACTTTTTGTCACCACTAGAAGTCATTGTCAAAAGTTATTTTTTTTATTAGTGTTAGAAATAAAGATTGGTCTAAAGTCTAATTGATAAGGATTTGACTAGTAATCCAAAGATTATGGGGTCAAATCTTATTGCCGACGTGAGAATTTTATTGGTGAGCAATTTGTAAATATCTGTGTAAGCTATTTGAATGTGGAGGAATGATTTGACCTTGATAGCCCTTGGGGTCCGATTCACAATAGAAAAAAAAAATAAAACCGTGATTAGACCATGGCAATATTTTTATGGTTTCAATCATCACAGAGTGTGTGGTAATTTTTGAAGTGATTATATATATATATATATATATTTTAAGGTGATTATATTAAAATTGTATGATGAGATCACTGAGTTATTTTAATTAGTGGCTATTGAAAACTTTCTTGCTTGTCCACAAGTAAAACTATGAATAAGGTTTGAGGCTTCTAAACAAAGCATTGCGTTTGCACTTGCAATAGCGTGTGCGCCTGACTTTTGGGGGGGGGGGGGGAATGCATGTGTAATTTGAATATGTATAAGTTGACAAGTTCGACAAACAAAAGCTTGGAGTCAATTATTACCTTCTTATATATAATAATGGACAAAAATAGGTTAGTTGAATGGTGAACCTCCATATTTAATGATAGAGGCATTTTTGGGTATACTTAGCTTGGGGAGCCATTGATGCAACATTAGTTGTGTCAATGAAAAATATATAATATTTACATATTGTGATGATTATCAATCTGATTAAAATATTCTAAATGATTATCATACAATTACTACAATGCAATAATAGATACATATGACCCATTATTAATTCACAAATATATAGAATAAAATAAACAAGTAACGTTCCATGAAACAGTTAAGGTGGTATTTGGATTGACATAGATTTGGATTTAAATTTTAAATTTTAAATTCAAATTTTAAATATCACATTTAAAATTCATGTATTTAAAATTTTTTGTTTAATTAGTTTAAAAATATTTAAATGGAGAGATGGGTTAGATATTCAAAACCAAAACAAAAATTAAAACTGATGAGTTTATTTTTATTTTTCAATCGACAAGGGACGAGAATGAGAGATACAAAAAGATACAAAAATTATAAAGACATCAATAATGAAAAACAAAAAAAAACAGAGAGATTTGAAGTGATTAGAATTTCAAGGGATCAATTAGAATGTGAAGAGAATTTAAATTATAAAGAAAATGTAATAGGAAATAAATCTATAAAATTTTGTGCATCCAAATGAGGATTTGATCTGAATATAATCTAAATTCAAATTTCCATTAATGTAAACACACCATAAACAAATATAAAAAAATGAAGGACGAACAACTCTGCCCTTAGAAAATTTTATTCGAACATTGCTATTTTAGGTAGACTAGATATTCCAAGGAACTTATATGGATCTAAAACTTCAAGCCATGTTTCTCCAACTTCTCTTCAGTTATTTCATCTAAACGTTGGACCATATCGAATGTGAGGAAATTCTTCCAGTCTCCAACTTCTCCACGTCTAAAAAAAGCCTTATTCTCTATCTTGTGCCATGAATTTCCAGTCTTGTTCACTTCCATGCTACTCAAACTCTCAAAACTACAGAGCTTCAATATATCAATTACAACATTACCATCCTCTTCCTCTTGAGAAAAACCATAACCCATAAACTCAGCTAGGTCCTTCAAAACCTCAACTGGTTTGCTTTTCAGCTCTTCAAATCTCAGAAACATAACCTTATCTGGACTCTTCCAAACTCTCCTTATGGTATTCCAACATGTGATCCCAAAACGGCCCATAACCAATCACTCCTTGACAAAACTTCTCAAATGCATTCTCAATTGAAACCAACCGTTGGGCATCTGGTTCTAGTAACTTGTTCACAAATTTCCATGTTGAAACAAACAAGTCCTTAGGGTTTCGACATAAGTACACAATCTTACATCTAGACTGCTTCACAGACTCTGGCAACAAAACATATGGGACATGACATGCAAAGAGTCTCGGTGACGATGAGAACGAGTCTCGAATAGCCATGGGCTTTTGAAGATCATCGTAATACTCTATGAAAGGTACAAGATCATGAGGGCTAGCAGTGAGGAGAGGATGATGAGAATGGTGAGTTTGGGCTGGATTTGGATCATAGGTCTTACGATTGAGAATAGAGAAGGTAAGGGCTTTGAGCCACGTGGTGCCAGATTTGGGGAAGGTGACAAGGAGGGTGTCAGAATCATGAGCTTGGTAGTGATTCTGAAAATTTAAGATTCCTTGAATATGCTTTTTGGAGAGCCAGAAACCATTGTATTGATGGAGTGGCATGTTGATCAGGGTCAATTCACTGGGTAACTTTGCAATGAGATCCTTGCATTCTTGGGATAAGTGATCTTCATCTTCGTGGAAGTGCTTGGGAAGATCAGAAAGATCAGAGGACTTTGACTTTTGTGATGCCATGAAGTTCTTTTTCAGATATGTATGTGTGTAGTGTAATAATAAGAAGCGTAGAGATACATATGTGTGCAGTGAACTTAATCACAAGTTTATATAAGTATGTATGCATTAGTAGAGACGTCAGTGGTGGTTTTATAAAAACATCGGTGTGTTGATGGATGATGATATAGGAGGATATTTTATCAATTCTTTCGCACTCGTCAACCACTGCATATAGCAACAGATATATTAGGTTTTTGAAAGAAGATCTAAAATATCATATCAATAATTATTAATTAAAATTATGTTGTTATTTTAATAGTTCTAATTCATTAAAATTAAATCCATCAATCTCGGGGTATTATTCAATATACTGGAAGGGGGACCATATTCATCCAGTTGAGAAGTTTGGATTCAAACAAAAACTCTATCAGTATATTATATAGAATAAAATCAATAAGAAGTTGAATTGTATACGTAAATCACGAACAAAGCTAGGATTTAATTATGTTAACTAAAATGTAAATCAGATTAAATTATATTTGTAATTGTTTTCTACAATGATCATTAAGATGCATGGACTAAAATTAAGTATTCAACGTAGAAAGAAAATATTACAATTAAGAAAGGGCAACCAAACGTTTTATTAATATACTACTGTTTGAAATTAGTCTTCCTACTCACATCTCACATACTCCGACTGTCATATTTATGAGGCAGAAATAGAAGATTTTTGGTTTTTTTAAAAGATCACCTTATTAAATTTTTAACACAAATTTTCCCTATTTACCTTTCATTGAATGTTAGAGAGAGAGAGAGAATATATTAATAAAGAATGTATATTAAATAAGAGTAAAATTGAGAATTTATTAAATTTTTAGATAAAATTAATGAGCAAGTCTTTCCTCAATTCCAAAAAAACATAATAGAAGTGACTTATAAATAGGATTAGAGGAGTAATACATAAGAAAAATTATATAAATCTTAAACAAAACTATGTCGTCTATTGTAAAGGATAATTAACCATAGGGCTTAATTTTGATTTCTAGATTGCTTTCTTATTCTTATTATTAAATTAAATAAACAGATTTGTTCATAATATAATTCTAGATTAAGTGATGATGCGCTGAAGATGTCATTTTTGTACGAACGATGGCTATCTTATTCTTATATATTATAATAAACACACTCGTTCATAGTACTTTTAAATTTAAATTATGTAATGATGTGGTGAAAATGTCCTTGTAACAATATATTTGTTCCCCAGTAAACCTTGACACAAGTCCACAAACTTTTTCATTTATCTATAAAAAATTATTTTTCTACTAATAATGTGAGGAAGAAATCATTTCAAAGTAATTTTTGTATTTAAGCAGGGAAAAAACTCTCCTTGGCTTTCTTGCGATTAAGTTCAATCTTTAATAGCCTTGTAAACCACAGTGATTGGACAATCTTTAATAGCCTTGGAGGAAAGTTATTGAAATTTTATTTGTTGGGGGACCCTTCATCCGATTTTAATTTTAATGTTATTTATTGCTTCCCATAGTCCTAAATGTCAAAGATAGGTAACTAAAGAGATTATAAAAATTAGTTAAGTTAGTTATTTGTAGAAAATGTGTTGCGGCTTTTCTAAGATACCTCTTCAATTATTTGTGCATTGGAAACTACCTTCATTGAAAAAATTCTCCATTAGCATGTATAATCAAGGATCGTTGGAAGACAAATAAAAAATTTGGGAGGCAAAATGTATTTGGAATCAAAACAAACTCCTCAACTAGTTCTAAATTTAAAACTGTCCATTAAGGTAGCATTTAATTTGAATGGGTAGATATCGATTTGAATTTACCTCAAATTAAAATTTCACATTTAAAATTTATGCATTTAAAATCATTTAATTTGTTTGGATAGCATAAAAATTATAATCCAAAGATAATTAAAAAGGAATATAATGAAAATGAAAATTTTTTGGGACAAGAAAGAGATGAGAGGATTAGAGTATCTAGCATTTCAAATAACCAGTGTAGATTATATATTTAAAATTACAAAAAAGTATACAATAAAGTATGAATTTAGATTTAAATCAAATTCAAATGCATAAACTTTTATGAATCCAAATGGTGGATTTGACTCCAATTCAAATTATCCAAATCTCCCTACCGAACGCATCATAAAATTAATTAAAATCAAAGATATGGTTTGGGTATTCATCAAAATTAATTCCATCAATCTCATGATATTATTCAGTATATTGGTTGGGGGACCATTCATCCAGTTGATAACTTTGAATTCGAACAAAAACCATTGTCGTTATCTCATGTATACGCACACATACAATAAAATTAGGGAGAATGACAATTAAAGACCTGCTAAGAACATTAATCTCAATTACGACCGTGAAATTTTGAAATCTCAGTTAAGGATCATAGTCCTTAATTATGATTAAAAAAATGTAATTTGTGATGTAGGATTTCATTATTGCCACTTGAAATTCACTAACCCAACTTAAAAAATTTATAACGTATATTGTAAAAACATGAAATTCCACTTAGAAATTGAATGTTTAACAAAAAGCGTCACTTGAGAATTCACTAACTCGACTTGAAAAAATTTCAATGTATATTGTGAAAACATGAAACTTCACTTAGAAATCGATTATTTAATAAAAACACCAATTTAGATAAGTCACTTTTTATTAATGATTCTCAGTGGGGTTTCATTTTTTCATAATATACGTTAGAAATTTTTTTAAGTGTAGTTAATGAATTTCCCAAGTGGCGCTTTTTGTTAAACATTCCATGTCTAATGGGGGTTTCATGTTTTCACAATATACGTTAGTAATTTTTCAAGTTGAGTTAGTGAATTCTCAAGTTGCGTTAGTGAATCCACCTCACAAATTATATTTTTTTATCACAATTAAGGACCATGGTTTTTAACTCTGATTTTAAAATTTCATGGTCCATAATTGGAATTAATATTCTTAATAGGTCCTTAATTGTCATTCTCCCTAAAATTAATAACAAGTTGTATTATTGATAAAATAATTACAAATAAACTGGTGATTCATTGACCATGTAATTGGTGGAAGCTAGATCTAGAGTGCAAGACAATTTCCGGTGAACGGAAAAGATCGGAGGGGGAAGAGGCCGGAGGAGGGAATCATGGAGGTTCAAGGCATTGGAAGGGCGGTAACTTACCGCAGCAAAGATCATGGGGGTGGTCATAAATAATAACAATGAGGTGATTGAGGGGAGAGATATGGAGAATAGGTGGATGGATATGGCTCGGGTGAAGAGAAACTCAGGAGGAGGAAATTCTGCTTGGGTAAGGAGGGTTGTTGAATGTGGGCCCAACTCACCGTGATATAAATATTGAAGGAATTAAGCTTGTGGTAGGAAACGGAGTAGGGAATGGAACCTTAATTGGACCAACAATTCAGCGCCGCTATACTCATCGTCCAAACTTAGAAAAAGGCTTTGCTTCTATCACAGACATGGACCAGAATAACCATCAGCAATAAATAGTAGAGGTCTCGATTGAAAGAAAGTTGCACAAAAGCAATAGTTCTATTTAATGGTCTTTCCGTTTCCTCTATCATGGTGGGCCTGAACGGTGTGTCTCTCTTTGAAGAGGCCTACAATAAATTTGAAGTCCTGCAGATGGTAAAATGAGAGGCAGACTAAACTTTATGAAGAACGAAGTGTTGAGGTTAACCGAGTACGAAGTCGACGTTGAAGAAAGAGAGACGTCGCAGTTATGTTTAGTGAAGAAATTAATTCGTAGCAAGGGTTGGGCGCAGGGTCGATAGTCTGAAAAGTGGATTTTGAGCAGGTTGAGATCGATTTCCACAAAGTTGGCTAAGTTCGAATGGGAATGGATATGAAATGAAGGTACGGATTCTTCATCTAAAAATGCTGGTAGTTGGATGGGACCAATCACCGGTTCACAATGAAAATTTTATTTTGGAACTATCAGGTATTGGGGTCCCCTAGACAATTATAGAATTTAAAGGATGAATGCATCCAAAATAAACCCCAGTGGTTTTTTGTTAAGGAAACTAAGCACACACATAGAACCAACACCCACACACACACACACACAGAGTAGTGAGGAAGGCCAGAAGGAGATGTGGCTTCTCTAAAGAATGGTTTGTGGTTCCTATTGGCATCGGAGGGGGTCTAGCAATTTGGTGGTCTAAGGAGCTATCTTTAAATATTCTTTTTTTCTTATCCGAATATTATTCATGCCAGGACTGCATCTAACTCTGGTGCTCCTTTTTTCATTACTTTCATCTATATATAGCCCTACCAAATGAAGGAGATAGGGAACTCTGTTGGGAGGCAGTGAGACATATTACAAAGGGTATGGATCAGTCTTGGTTATGCGTGGGGGATTTCGACAACATTGCATCTCAACCTGAGAAAGAGGGGGCTCGTCCTCGAGCACACAACCCAAGGAAATGATTAATTTCCTAAATTTTATAAATGATTGTGCTTTAATGGATCTAGGCTTTAATGATTAACCTGGTGCAATAATAGGATGAATGGTGGTCTGATTAGAGAAAGAATTGATAGAGCCTTGGGAAACGTGCTGCTCGGAGAGGAATTTCCCTGCTTACGGGTCTTCATGTTGATCCTATGGGTTCCGACCATCACTTGCGACTAACTGATTGCTGCTATAGTGGGATAAGGAGAAAGAAGCCCTTTAAATTCGAAGCCTTATGGACTTTGTATGGCAACTATAATGAGATTGTTAGAAGGGGTGGTCGGAAAATCTGGTAGGCCCAGATATACTCTTGATTGCATTCTTACTAGACTATAAGCCTGTAAACAAGCACTTATCAGGTGGATCCAAATTCAGTTCGCAATGAGCCTCTAAGAACTTGGTCAACTTCCAACCTTAACTCTATCAACCATATTCAGCTTATGATCAAAATAAACAACACACAAAATTAACTAATTAAAATGCACCTCAATTCCCTTAAAAACCGTGACAACCACCAATATAGAATGGATAGGACTTGGGCACAACACTGAACAAAGAAACAAGAAAACAATTAATTAACTCAAAATTTCCTATGGCAGCCATACTCTCAAAAATACTAGATT